TGGGGACACAACAACTACGCGGGAGATTACTCCGGACGCGGATGGCTGGGGACGCAGCAGCGGTGAGGAGGAAGGACGCTAGGTCTCAGGTGGCGGCTCATTCCACGAGACCCGGCCATATTTTTAAGTTTCAAGAGGCCGATGTCCTCGTAAGAGGTGACAAGCGCGTGAGCCACGAGCATCTCGAATGATGGTTCTGAGGTCCGCAAACTCTCACCAAGCGCAATAACCCACGTTGCCATAATCATCATTGAGGTATTCCCTGGGTGGGGGAGTCGGTCACGTGGGGAGGGCGCGGGGAAGCAACAATCCAGGTGACTGTGGGCCAAATTGCCGAGTCACAATCACGCCAACATCCAACACGGATGATGATGAAATTGCGGCAATTAATGACTGGACGCGGATTGACGAACTATCATCGCATCAAGTATTACCCTAAGAAGTGATCGCGAGAGCTGTTAATTATAATATGCATGTTGTCCCACGGCTTCTACGTGCTATAAATAAAGTATTCTCTATGCCTCCACTACACCTGTCTACAATTGTCTCTGATGGTGAGTTAGAGTGAGAAGCTGAAACGTCAGACCAATAAACTTCTTGTTCCAGTGATCGCATCTTCGCCTTTTGAGAGCGAATCACCACCTTACCAACCCGACGGCATTAAACGCTGTGAGATAACACTTGTGTTCAGAGATGGAAAGCGATCCTTTTTACAGCCCCAGACCGTAAAGACTAGCTCACAAGAGCTGAACTGAGATTCAAAAGCAGACATATAAACATACCTTCCATTGAGGAAATTGGTCAGCTAGTTTTCACTTTGAAAATGCGGAAGCAGGATGCATACGTTACGTGTGTCAACAAGGGTAACGTTAGTCGCCAAGACCGCGAGTGAAATAATAGGGCGAAAGAAATAAAGTTTTAAAACCACATTTTCTCGTAATGTTGCCTATGCAGAAGTTGAAAATCTTAGGGCAGCATTTCCAGAGTTATCATGCAAAATCTTCTTTTCTATGTACATTGAGGACGTTTTACTTAAATCAACGAGGTCACGGATCATAAGGTGGGGAAAATGAAAGCTTAACCTGCAGAGTATTTCCGGCGTGTCCTGTAACTGCAGGATTTCAAATATGTCTTCAGAGTTCTCGTAGCCCATATCCTCACACTTGAGGCAAATGTTGGTTAAGGTGGCTAGCTGCAATTTCGTGTCGCGCTGTTGAATTGTGCCTTAGAAAAAGCTCCTTGCCAGATGCCCATTTATCGTTTCAAAAAACCCGTCGTCAAATGAAAAAAACTCCGTTAATTTCTTACTAAAGTCTCAAGCAAAATCTACCTAAACTCGCATGTGATACTTTTCTGTATATGGAATCCCGGTGTCAGGACAGATCAAGAATGCTCCATTTTGTCGTGGGAATTCCATTTAGAACTCTTTCAGGCTGTTGCATATTTGCGATCAATTATTTGCCTGATCGTCCTACTAACACGGACAAGGGAGACAGCAACGGCCGCTTTTATCCCAATTGACCTTATCTGTAAGTAAAAAGTGATTCAGGTGGCCCGTCAGTTGAGTCACGGTTTCATGATTTGTCAGATGCGGTAGCGCGACAATCGTTTTCAGCCACTTGGTCGGACCATAGGATGCAAAACAGACGTTCCACTTTGCCTTGGAGCTCCGTTCTGAGGCTCAACGTGTGGCTAGCCGATAAGGATAAACAAAACAGGAATGAAATCTCCACTTTCTTTTAACTTCTCAGTTCGTTCCATGAAAAAGAATGCGCTGGAAGACATTTCTGACAGCAGGTGACGGCAAGTCTATTTAGAGGCATTCGTTCTAGTCGGCACCTTTTCATACAATCATGGGAATTTTGTGCTAAACAGAACCTCACAGGATTAGGAAAGCGAATGCATCCGTCCGTCGGTCAAACCTCAACTACGGCCGCGAGACCCTCAGATCCGATGTCGGTTTAGTAGCTTCTAAACTGGGGAAAGTCCAATCTCAAATTATTTGGTTGAAGACCCCTCCTCTGCTCCCTCGAGGTGCAGAAGTCGAGCTCGAATATCTGTCAGATGGCTGCTGTCGGAAAGTAGGAAGAACTAGTGACATCGACTCTTGCAGCGCATGTTTCTCATTATAAACAATCTGATGCGCTTGAATGTATCAGCATGCACCAAACGTCCTGGCTCGGAAGGCTAAAGACTGGCGGAACCAATAAATCCTTCTCTCTGGATGGAGAGTCAGGCTGCAATGGCCCCCGATTTATGGCACTCCCACTCGGTTGGAAGCCGATTCACGCTCCTCATTTCTT